TGCCAGGCCAACAGCTGGTGTCGATCAGCACGTGAAGGCGGTGCAAGCCACCCGCTTACATCAGCTGCAGACCCATCCTTGTCTATTAACGTTCCCCAAAGCTGAAGCCACCTGCCTATCTTCCATTAAGGAGCATATTTTGCCTCCCATGGGAGATCTGCTCCTTTCCTTTAGGGAAAGGAGATAAAGGGAAGCACCTCAGCGCTCATTGCAGCGCACCAGGACCCCTCCGGTCCTCACCGACCGGTTGGGGACCAGGGGCTGCCGTCGGCGCTGCCTCGGGGGGTGACACTGATGGATGAGCTGGGCTGTGGGTTTCCCTTGGGTTTCCCCGGGGAGAAACCACGTTCTTGCTTCCCGTGGGGAATGCAGTGTCTGCCTCCTGCTTCAATCCCCCTCTGGAATTACGGAGGAAGGAGCAGGGCACATCCAAGCCTTCCCTTCCCTCACGCAGGTGGCGGGACAGCGAAGCGCTTGGCTGCGCTAACACCGGATCCGCACGCCGCGGGCAAAGCGAGGAGGGAGGTTGCCCGGGGCCACGTTTGGCTCCGAGGCTCTAATTTGGGTGCCTTTACCCGGTTTCGCAGCGTTTGGAAGCAAAGCGCCGGCCGCGCTCGCCGCCTCAGCCGCACCGGCCGGGAGGGGGCGCTGCGGCGCTCGGCCCTACCGCTGAGGCGGGAGGGGGCGGTGGGAGGGGCGGAGGGAGCGAGGGAGGGGGCGGCCCCGCGCCTCCAGGGGGCGCCGCGGTCCCTCCCTGCCGGGGGGGGGGGGGGGTGTGCGGCGGGCGGGGCGGGCGCCCACGCGCGTGGACGCGGGTGCATGAGCCCACGCACGTGTGTGCATGCGCGCGTAGCCACGTGCAAGGGTGCACGTGCACTGCACACACAGGTCTGGTGCGTGCACACCTCCTGGGAGACCCCCCTGCAGCCCTGATCCAGCTCTGGGGCAGCAGCACAAGAGGGACGTGGAGCTGCTGGAGCGGGGCCAGAGGAGGCCATGGAGATGCTGCAAGGGCTGAAGCAGCTCTGCTCTGGAGCCAGGCTGAGAGAGCTGGGCTGGGGCAGCCTGGAGAAGAGAAGGCTCCTGAAGGGGAGACCTGAGAGCAGCTCCAGTGCCTGAAGGGGCTGCAGGAAAGCTGGAGAGGGGCTTGGGACAAGGGCCTGTAGGGACAGGCCAAGGGGAATGGCTTTAAGCTGCCAGAGGGGAGGCTGAGATGAGCTCTTAGGCAGAAGCTCTTCCCTGTGAGGGTGCTGAGGCGCTGGCACAGGGTGGCCAGAGAAGCTGTGGCTGCCCCATCCCTGTCAGTGTTCAAGGCTAGGTTGGACACAGGGGCTTGGAGCACGCTGCTCTAGTGGAAGGTGTCCCTGCCCGTGGCAGGGGTTGGAACTGGGTGAGCTTTAAGGTTCCTTCCAACCCAAACCAGTTTGGGATTCTGTGTTACGTGCATGCCTACATAGTTCCAGTGCATGCACATATATGTGTGTGCATACACAGGTCTTTAACACACACATACATACGCAAGCATGCAGTAGGCCTGGTTCTGGGTTTGCAACTGTGCTGACTGGTGAATGGGGCTGGTTTCAAACCATCCTGGGTGCTCCTGAGCCCCTGTGGCACCACATGGAACACAGGAAGGGAACAAGGAGAGGAAAGCAGGGGCCTGTGGATGTGGTGATCTGTAAACCTCATATGCAAAGTTGGTTTTATCAGTCTTAACACCCTGATCTGTATTTTGCAACCCTGCAGTAACGCAACTGGAATTATTTATTGTTGTTTCTTCTGATTAATTTAATTAAAACTCATTGGTGCAGCGTGTCCCGTCCCCCCCCCCCCCGTATTAAAGGAAATGAAGTCAACATCATTAAAAGGAGTAGAATAGGCGTATGCCAAAGTATTTGTAAGAGCACGTTAAAAATATTCTAATATGAATTCCAGCTGTCTCGCAGGCTGATGGTAACTTTTCCTAAGAAATCCAGCGGCGCCGCAGGCCGTCATCCGTGGGCTGAACGCAGATTTGTCACAACAAGGGGAAGCCACCTTCGTTGTTTGCTACCATCACACTTTTTAGATCCAGCTAGCTAGTCATTTATAAAGGCCTTTGGCATCGCCTTTGGAGTAAGGCTCGTGACATTTCTAATTAAAGGCAAATTGCAGCGACCTCATCTGCTCTGGAGAACAGACACCCCCCCCTCTGTGAGCCCAACCCTCACTGCTGCGTGGGGCACATGGTACGGACAGGTGGCCTGACAGGGGTAATGGGATAAGGGGTACCCATGTGCTGGATACCTGTGTTCCAGGGGATGTATTTTGGGATATCTGCATTGCAGGTACAGCCTTATGCTGGGGTACTGGTGTACTGGAGTGTCTGAGTATTGGGGTATCTGTGTTCTGGGGTACCTGTGTCCTCATGTATCTGCGTGCCAGGGTTCCCAAGTCCTGAGCTACATGTGTGCTGGGGTACCTGTGTACTGTCGTACCTGTGTGTTGGGGTAGCAGTGTACAGGGGTAGCTGTATGCTGGGGTACCCGTGTGCAGATGTAAAGCTGTACTGGGATAACTGTGTCCTGGAGTGTCTGAGTGTTGGAGTACTTGTGTAACAGAGTACCTGTGTGCTAAGTTACCTGAATACTGGGGTACCTCTGTAGTGGGGAACCTGTGAAACAGAGGTGCCCGTGTGCCAGGGTACCTAAGTACTGGGGTAGTTGTGAATCAGGTACCTGAGTACTGGGGTAGTTGTGAATATGGTACCCAAGTACTGGGGTAGCTGTGAATCAGGGGCACCTGAGTACTGCGGTGTTTGAGCACTAGGGTATCTGTGAATCATGGTACCTATGCTGGGGTTCCTGAGTGCTGGGGTATGTGTGAATCAGGGGTACTGTTGTGCTGGCGTACCTGTGAATCGAGTGTACCATCTGAGGCGTACCTGGCCCCTTACTGTCCCAGCTTCCATAGAAGCTTTCAAACTGCCATAGACCCACCTGAAGGGATAAGGCGAAGAAGCTCAAGTGGGGATGTGTCGTGCTGCTGCCTCCTTCATACCCAATGGCCAAGGGCTCCAGATGCACTGGCACTGACCCATTCAGGTGGGAACAGGCTCCTTCCTTTATAGCAACCTGTCCCAGCATCTCAAAGGCCTTAGGATGAACAGCACTGCTGCAAAGTGGCAAAAGCATCTCCACTGCATTCTCCACTGGATGGGGGAGGCAGACAGCCATGGCCACCCTCCCCTTCCACTCAGGAACCCAGTGTCCTGTGCTCTGTCCACTTCTCCTTCACTTACCAATTTTCAAACCATGCGCAAGAGGCAGGGTTTTCCATGGAGATTCAGTGTTTTCCCTGTATTGCACATGCCAAGGGCCTGCCTGCAGGTTCTCTTTGCCAAGCAGGGCAGAAGTCACTTGCACCAAAGTTTGGGGTGACACTGGCACTCTGGAGATGTCTCTGAGGAAAATAAATCAGTTTGTCACTGTGGTGCAACTGCAGAGAACATTTTCAGCCTCCTGCCCTGTGTGCTGTGCGATTACTGGGCGGCTTATCCCAGGTTTTATTATCCATGTAAGCATCTACTGGTGGTGTACAACTGCCCTGCATGCAGCAGCACAATTCTCAATGAACTGCAAATGCATCTGGTGGGCTGCAGGCATTCCTGAAACTTCTCCCCCTCCAACCCTGCCCTGGCTGCAGCCAAGGGGACCTGGCAGAGCCCACAGTGGGACAAAATCCCTATGGACTGTGTCAACCACTGGATTATAGCAATGCCACCAGTGCTTTTTTTTTTTTTTTGATACTGATTTCTTTTTTTCTGTGTTGTTGTATATTTATATATTAGTTTTTAAAGGATGCAATGAGAAACAACAGGAGAACCCATCTGCAGGGCCTAACGGGGCTGGTGGGGAGAGGTCAAGCTGTGCCCCCTCATCCTGATGCCCAAACCCCCAGGTTCAGGGGACCCCTTGGCTTTATCAGTTTGACCTGTGGGCAGCAGGAGCAGCCCTGGGGCAGGAGGGTCCTGCAGTAACTGCACCCAACTTGTATGAAACACCTCTGCTGTGGAAGTGGGAGAGCTGGAGGCTGCTGCCCAGGGGTGTGTGTCCCATTGCCACTGGAGGTCGGTGTCCCATTGCCACCAGGGGACTGTGCCCCATCGCCACTGAGAGTCTGCATCACATTACCACAGGGGGACTGCTTCCCATTGCCACTTGGTGTCTGTGTCCTATTGCCACCGGAGGTCGGTGTCCCATTGCCACAGGGGGACTGCTTCCCATTGCCACTGAGGGTCGGTGTCCCATTGCCACAGGGAAGGTGCCACCGGCCGATACACCGCTCCTCACAGCACGTACCCCCCTCTACAGGCACATACATGTGCTCGATGTATACACAGCCCGTGTGGATGTGCGCAGACACGCGGCTGTGCGCTGGCAGGCAGTACCGTGCTGGCGGGAGGGCCCGGCGGGTCCCCCCGTGACCCCCCTCCACGCCGGTGGCACCGGGCCCGGGAAGCGCAGCAGGGAGCGGCGGCGGGGGGGGGGGGGACCGGGAGGGCGGTGGCTGCCAGGTGCCCCCCTCCCTGCCTGCGTTCTCCCTCCTCCATCCATCCCTGCATCCATCCCTGCATCCATCCCTCCATCCATCCTTCCATCCATCCCTCCATCCATCCCTCCATCCTCCCTCCCTCCGCGCCGCCCCGCTCCGCCGCCCCCAATACTTTAGTGGAGACTTGATTTTGCGGCGGGGGTCGGGGGGCGCTGGCTGTGCCCTGGATTTATCCCCCCCCCCCTTCTTCTTTTCGCATTTATATATATATTATTTATTTATTATTTTGGGGGGGGGGGGGAGAGGGTAGCTCAAAACCTCCCCGCTCTCCGCATGTGCGGGATTTACCGTGACACGATCGGGAGCGGGGCTGGAGCAGCGATAAATCAGCAGCGCCGGACGGACACTGCGGCAAAAAGGGGGTGGGGGAGGGCAAAAAAGAAAATGGGGGGAAGAAAAGTGGGGGAAAAAAGGAAAAAAATAAGGGGGGGGGGGAATTCGGAGCTGCGGAGCGAGCGGCAGGGGTTGAGCGGGCTCGGAGCGACTGGAGTGGCGGCGGTGCCGACCTGCGCTGGCTGCGCTTCTCCTCGTTTGTGTTTCTTATTTTTCTTTCCTTTCTTGGCTTTTTTCTTTTTTTTTTTTTTTTTTTTTTTTAAAAAAAAATCCTTTTTCTTTCCCTGCACCTTAGCTGAAAATGGCTACCGGGGGCTTGGCGATCGCTTGAGGAGGCAGAGATGGCAGGTTGCGAGATTTATTGATTTATTCCCCTCTCAAAACCCAACCCAAATCCCGAAGCCAGACCGAAATCAAACAGCAAACTTTAAAGACTTTTATTTTCCCTTTTTTCCCCCTTCTGTTTTCTATCCCGCTCCCCCCCGCCTCTTCGCGGTGCGGTGCCAAAGCATTGCCGGAGGGGGGGCGCGGAGGACCGGCAGCCGCGACGCCCATCACCGCCGCCCAGGGCGGGCAGCCTCTGCTGGGATCGCGGCGGGTGCAAACCGGGCACAAGCCGCCGGGCTGCGAACACCCTCGGCGGGTAAACCCGGTGCTGCGGGGCTGGCGGATGCTGCAGGCGGAGACTGCGCGCCCGTGTAGGGATTATTCACCTTTTTTCTGTTATTCCTGGGTTTGATTTTATTGCCGTGCCACAGACCTACAACTGTACGTGCAAATAAAAGCGAGAGCTCACGGATACCGCTTTGCTTCCCAGCGAGGACTGAGTAGTTAATCCAATAAGTATATGTATTGTTCGGGGCGGTGGGGTGGAGGGGGGGGGGGGGGGAAGGCGGTTAATCACCTATGGCAATGTATGGATGATATATATGAATATTAAAGCGACGTGGGGAAAGAGTCTCGTCGAGGGGGCTCCTTTTGGGGAGAGGGCAAAGAAGAAAGTGGAAAGAATCTGTTAAAATATTTTCCATTCATAAAAATGGCAGAGGGCTTATCCACCGCTCTATTTCTGCGTCTGACTGCACAGCTAATGCGTTATTGCCAGCTTCAAAAAGATAATTGTAGTGTCGGTAGAGACCTAATAATACAGCAGCACATGTAATTTTAAACAACACCTCATTGTTTATTGGGATGTAACTTTCCCAAAGTTTATTTGTGGCGTTAAAGAGATTTTCAAAGCGCAGAACAAATTGCAAATGAGCAGCTGTGGGGCGATGCACGTTTTGTGCAGCTCCAAGAGTTTCTATATTTAGTGGCAAGCTGAATCTGAAGAGGGTTTAAAATAATAATAATAACAATAATAAATTGAAGATCTGCAAGGAAATGCTTATTTCCTCCTGGAGGAGAGGGGAGCCCGGCTGGGGAATCTCCAAGCTTGGATTTCTAAGGGAGAAATAATATGCTCTGTGTGCCTTTGCCTGTGAGTTTCACAACCGTATGTACACCTGCTCCATAGGCTCAGAAATAACCTTTTCATCCAAGAAGTTAACGAAGGGGTCGGGCATCCGTACGAGGGGCGGTGTCGTGATTTATGTGTTTTTCCAGGAATCCAAAGGCTTTGTAAGGGCCACCTGTGCATCGCGCCTGGCTGTGCCGGGGGTTACCCGCTGGAAACCTTCCCAGCCCTGTAGAGAAGTTCACACAACAGTCGGGTGAGCAGAGGATGGTCTCACCTTCTCCCTGCTGTTAAGAGAGGAGAGCAGTGATTGTGACAGGCAGCCCACACGGATTACACTTCTGGTTTTAAAAAGAAATCCTTCTCTTCTGCATAAAAAACCAGCTTCTCCAGAGAGATCCGGTACCAGCGCAGGGTGCCCACCCCAGGGATCTCTATTGCCAGGGCTTACAATGCGGCAGGTCAGTGAATTACAGTAATAAAGACTTCCCAAAGAAAAATATTTCAGGAGCTGGGACTAACATGGTTCTTTTGCTGTAGGCGCTGGGAAAGGCAGAGCAAGCAAAGTGGACCGGGTGCGCTTCCCTCCGGGATTTTTTAGTGACTTCTTTCAGGCAGAAGCATTGGCTCTTGTGCAGATTTGAGTTCTTATGGCCAACTTCTGCATGTGTACACAGGGCTGTTACAGAATCATAGAATCATTTAGGTTGGAAAAGACCCATAAGATCACCGAGTCCAACTTTAAAACCTTTATAACTCACTCCTTGCGTGTTATGAAGTTGTCTGTAAAATTAGGAAAGCCAGAGATGTGGAAAGCTACTAATGACAGTGGAAGGGTATTACTTTTTATTCCCTAAAATTTCATTTAGTTTAAAGTTAATGGGATAAAAGTGGGGTTTCTAAAATAGCTGTAGTAATGCCTGTCCTTCCTATGAAGAATATAGACCTTACCACGTTTTAAATACCTGATTTGTGTCTGAAAAGGGTAATTTTTATAGCAGAAAACAGAGTTAGGAAAACTTGTGATGGAAAACTTTACTACTCTGTATAAGCCTCGTGTGTGCTCTGGGTCAGCAGGGCTTAAACTGCACTGAAAACAAGAGTTGCAGAAGAGATTTGCAGATGAACTCAATGCGACACACACGATGCCAGAGGAGCAGTAATAAACCTGCACCTGTTCCCGTGCCCGCCTTGCCAGTCTCGAGCTTAGGTACAGAGCTGGGCTGGTTTTCTGCCTGAAAAGGCCACTCAGATTTATTGTTTTTTTTTCCCTTCCCAGAGCTCTAGCATGGATAAGAAATGTGGAAAAACAATGATTTAAGTATTTAAACACGTTGCTGCTTTGATTGTCTTTTATTATTATTTATTTATTGAATTCTATTGAATTCTAAAATTTATTTATTTATATAGGGAAATAATGCACATCTCATTTTGCAAGTTCTGGAGCACAGCTTTGCAGCAAAGGGGAGGCACTTTAGTGAGAGCTAAAATACCCCTCCACTGCTTCTCAGCGGGGTAGGTGATGTTCTTTGCATGTCCCGTTTTCTCTTAGAGGTGCCTTTTTCTCTGTAACACACCTCAGTTTGTGTTACCTGAATCTTACAAAGTTGCTCCAGCGAGCAACTGTTAGGGTTTATGTTTCACACCATATAATGAATCTCAGCTTCTATATGAGCGAACCCTGAATATAAACTGCTCTCATATGAAAAACAGCAACAAAACACATACCTTCCTTCTGAGAAATACATTGCATAAATCAATATGACAATGCACATATATACATATAAAATATGAAAATAAATAGTGTATAGGCATATAAATATAATTTGCCACACCACATTTATACCACCCTTGCGCAAACTTTGCACAAGCAATATTTCTATCGAGGCATTCCACATCAGGTCCAAAGTGTTTATGCCAAACTGCCTGATAAAACATTGGATTTGGGATGGTGGCAATATCAGCACCCCGCACCGTAAGCACTTAGTATTGCCAGAGAATGACTTTGTACCACTGTGAGAGGTGTCCAGCAGCTTCCAGCAGTGATAACACCACAGGGCTGGGTACAAATAAAATATATCCAAAGGTGATTGTACATGTTCGCATCCTGGTTGCGGATTTGGGGGGTTATCCAGCTGGCTAGTGGCATCAAGATGGTGGGCAGGGATTTTGGGTGCACACAGTTGCAGGGCTGGGTCAGCGGGCACTTGCTGAAACCATCAGTAAATCACAGTAAGGTTATTAAACTGTGTTCACTTTCACAGGGAACTTTCGCTTTGTGGTATTTCTGGTTTTCAGACAAATTCTGCTTACGAAGCAGTGTTTATATTAAAATAGTATCATTTCTTTTGCTCCCCTTCAGAAGATCTGCAGCAAAACAAAAGGGGAAACGCTGCCCATCCCGCCTCTTGCCGCTCCGTTCGCTTCCTTTCTGCAGCCTGAGCACTTCTGCTGGGAAGTTATTTCTTCCACAGCGCATTTCGCAATAGTCTCAAGACCCTTTGGAAATGCATTACAAGTCCACAGGCATGTTTGTGATATGCTTGGCTCTGGAGCCAGCACCCCATGTAGGGCCATGCCAGGCAGCAATGCCTCCAGTAACTCATGCTTAAAGTAGGAGATTTCACATGGAAAAAGAAAGGATTGACAAATTCATAGTGCAGAGATTCCCACTTACCCTTAGCACAGCTACTTTAATTCCCATCCCCACATGGATGTGACTTTGGTGATGCACCTATGGACCAGATCCCAAATTCTGGTCAGATGGGGACCACAGCACCTTTTCCTCCTCCTCTCCCGCTGGGAATCATGGTGAAGGGCTGGAAATACTGTGTTCAGTATTACAAAATACTCATTCACATGTATTTAGTGGCGTAAGGTGAGAACTCCCATCAAACCTATTAGTCTGCTTATTTAAGCTGTCCCCTGAAATTCAGAGCCTGGAGGTTGCAAGTTCTGCATCCTTTGTGTTTATGTTGCATCCAGTTCTGTAGCGTTCAGACTGGAGAGGAATCACAGAGCCATAGAATGGTTTGATTTGGAAGGGACCTTGAAGCTCATCCAGTTCCAACCCCTGCCACGGGCAGGGTCATCTTCCACTAGAGCAGCTTGCTCCAAGCCCTGTCCAGCCAAGCCTTGCAAAACCCCATTATGCTCAGCTCCCTGTGTACACAATGAAATTGTAACACAAGCTCTTCCCCACAGACAGTCTCAGAATCTACGCTCATATTTAGTACTTTCACACTATGAATTTCACACAGGATGCTGGGATGAGGTTAAGGATGGCGCTAACCTCTGCCTCCTCCATGACATTTCTGCTGGGCTTTGTAGCTAATTCCACAGTGTTTTTTGTGGGATGGCACAAAAACTTCTGGGCATTGATTTCCATCAACCATAATGGCATTTAAGTCTGTAAATAGTTGTGGAGATGCAAGTCATAGCAGTATGTGGATGTGAGGTGTTGATGGAAAGGGGGTCAGGATTGGACCCCCCCCATGATTTTGGGGAGCTTCGGCATCTCAGCAGGGCAAAGCCACCCCCGTGGGCTTTGGGGTATCTCCCAAAGCCACTACCATGGCTGAGGGCCCCGTTGTCAGGATGAGGCCTTTAATGATTGCTGCTCTATGTTAACAGGCCATACCACATATAGCCCGGCTATTGTCAGCGCTGATCCTTGTCCAACTGACGGGCTATTCAAAGCGCTTCTCAAGCCTCTCCAAAATCCCAGCTTGTTCTACCCCGATGACAGCCATCCCTCCCATTCGGAGTTTTCTTTGTACGCTTGATAACATGGTGGAAATCCCTTATTATGCTTCTTTTAATAATGCTTTCACATGGCGAGGGGACATGATGTTTTAATTTATGCAGTACACATCACCCTTCGACAATTTGCTAAGAGCTGACCTAAGCCTGAGCCCAAGAACAGAACTTTATGCAAAACCAATGGTTTCCAACCTGTGGTATCCAGACCGCTGGGAATCGGCGGGATCCTTCCGAGGGGTCACCATGAGGTAACCGGGAAAGCGGAGATGCTACTGGGAGGTTCAAACACTCCAGTGCGGGGCTGAGCTCCCAAACTTTAAGCTGAAAATCACCATTTGAGTTGGTTTGTTTTTTTTTTATGGTCTTATTTCTTCCCCCCCGGCTCACCCCCCTGCAGCTCCCTGCATCTTTAAATACCTGCCCCAGTCGATTCAAAGCAATACATTCAGAGGCAGAACCACGCCACTCGTTATAAGTTGTGCTGAGTAAAGTCTCATTTTCTTGCTCAAAAAAAATAGTCATTAACCTTCAGATCCACTCTCTTCCCCCCCCCCCCCAAATTAATTTTGCAGTATTATCACGC